GTTCTAACCAAAACACCTCACCTGTCTGGGGGGTGGCCCTGTACTGAGGCTCCTTATGCTGTGCGTCTGTTCCACTAATTGCGGGTTTCGCGTTGTCGCAGACATCAGATACACCAGTAGACGTGTCGGAGAAAGTCATATGTTCATTTTTCAAGTTTTCTGTAGCATTTGATACGTTGTCGGACCCATGGATAGTCGATACACCTTACCTGTTTGGGAGGGTACCCCGTATTGAAGTCCCTGTTCACCTGTTCCGTCACTCCCATGACTGGTGGTAACGAGAACAGACTGGGCAGTAGATGATTCGGTGGATGTATCGGAGGGAGCCATGCTTTCTTCAGTGATGTCTGTGTAACACGAAATTAGTCAATATGTTGCTGGACCAGTCGCTAATCGCTACCTAGTCGAGACTCGGACACTTCACCGTTCTGAGATGGAACCCCGCACTGAGGCTCCTGCTCGCTTGTTCCGCTACTCCCAAGGTTCGCGGCATCGAGGACAGTAAATAAAGCTTCAGCATACTCAGTATCGCGGCTCGATTCGGGTATGTTGGGGCGACGTTGTTTAACATAATATCGGCGGGTACGACTAGCCACGAAGTTGGGGAAAGTTTCTTTGTGCACGGCACGTTCTTTGGCGGCGCGTTGGATATAAGGACGTCGTCTGTCGTCAGACATGCTTTTCCATAGTTTTCCTATCGCCCTAGTCTTGATGGCTTGAGAGGATTCAGACAGATGTTTCGTAGACTGAAGACATTCAGTTCTGTTCATCAAGTTTAGTGTGTATAATCGACAAGGGAAAGTAAGCGTAGGCAGTTAACCTGAAAAGAATAAATGGGTTACGTGGTCCTCGCACGGCAGGAGTCTTTCTAGTCTTCGCACTAATAGCGGGCGCGCCTGTAGTCTCGTACTGCATATCAAGATTCTTCAGTATATCGAGCTTTCGACCGTATTCACTCGCCTTAACGTCGAAAACACATTTGGATTCATATCCTTTCAACGAACATCGTCGACACGGCCCTTCGCCGCTGCATATGACGTGGGCCGCTCGACATGGGCTGCATATAGTGGTCGGGTGACTGCGCCTATGTCGCCTGGTCATCCAATATCATTTCAATGCAGATTCCACGTACATGTTGCTTGGTAGATCGTGGTTGCGGTTGAACAGATACGAGTGTGACCGAGTTACTTTGCTCAAGCCGACCCCACAACAAAAAGTATGTTCCGATCAAAGTCAGCCTGACAAAGAGCAAATCCAGATATAATGCCGACAAGAATTCATACACAGGATTGGTGTCCCCTCGCATGTAGGCTTATCGGACCCTAATTCTTGAATATGTTCCTTGTATCTTCAATTGCGTCGAGACTCTAAGGGAATTGCATCGAATAGGTCGAATGTCGTATCATCGTCACCGGCAAGTGGTACTTGGTTTGCTGGCATTGAGGGTCACCGTATGCATCCCCCGTTGCTACTGGCTTCGGGTCTGTTCAGGTCGACGAGGTGTGGTGATCTTACACCCACACACCTTCGAGTTGAATTCGTGGTAGAACACTAGGTGCATCCAACCCCACGATCACGTGCTTCAGCCAGCCAACAAGCCGAAGAAAATACTCGAATTTGGAAGCAAAATCGAGTTTGTATTGACAGTAGTATGTGCAGATTGATTCTTATATATACACTGCCTTGTCCAGTTAGCTACATTGCACCACTCTCATCGTTTCCCTCGGCTTCAGTGCCTTCACTGTTGATGGGCATATCCACTGACATCGGCAGATCGTCCTCGGGAACATTGTGTTCCGAATCATCTGACTTGCTCCCTCCCGAGCTGTCTGAGTCATCCGAACCAGCAGAATCCGCGACTCCGACCCGAGCAACACGATCGCCACCTAAAATCCACGCCTATCGGATCAAGTCATCCCTGGCCCATCACTCTTATGTAATGAGCGCTTACCGTGTTCCACACAACGCCAGCCATCTCTGGAGTGTCCTCACGGTAAATCGTCACGTCCGCAGCGTAAAAGTGCTCCTGGTTCGAGAACTTCGCTGTCCTCGGACAAGGCAGGTACGCTTTCCGTGTACCTTTCCAGAGACGGACGCGATTTCCAAGACGTATGGCACTGATAGGATGTCAGTGTACCTCATCCATTATACTTTCAGTGCTTACTATGACAGTGGTCACATCGAGGTTGACTAGTATGAGGTCCTTGCCGCGACGATGGTCGAACTGCACCGAAGACAACACTTGAAAGGCAGTCTGATAAAGGTTGTCAATACTTCCAAATACACTGGTCTCTTGAATATGGTAAGCCACCTACATGGGTTTCATCGCGCCAACTTTTCTCCAGGTCATCGAGAAAGACCACAGTTCGCTGAAATGCCTCGGCAAAGCTGCCTTTAGGAGTGGATAACAACAAAGACTATCGCATCGTTAGGTCGAAGTGCAACCTACAACGAATATCGACTCACGTATTGTGCTGGCCCGTTGCGAAAGAGGCCGACCATCTTCCCATAAAAAGCAAGAGAGAACGGGCGGCGTCCGTTACGGGCGGACACGACGGCGTCGAAGTTCTGTACCAGAACTCGCTACGAAAAGACTATGATCCAGTTCGAGCTTTCGCTCGGTACGGAGGTGTAGTGGTCGCAGGTTGGAGAGAAAGGTCGCCATCTGTCCTCTTCAGATGCTATTTTTTTCCTTTTAAACAGTAATCCTTCCCTATCCAAACGAATGCGTTCATTCCCATCACCCGCAACAGAACTCCGAATCAATGCCACGCTCTCTCGTGTGAAAGTATAGGACATGAGAATGTCCGATGTCGCACATTTGATATCCAAGCGGAATCGGACGTTCGGGTCCGTTGGTCTTTTCTTTGCTGGTCTGGTCTTCGGTGTGGCCATGCAACTTCAAGCGTTAATCGAATCCGAAGTACAATATCACACACTGTCCTGAATTTATAGCTAGCAGTGTCGTGTTTACTCACCCAGTAATACCCCGTTGACCTTCACGAGATGGACGACACATTTCCTCTTCGCGACGCTGCAAGGAGCCTCGCATCTTTGCCTTCCCACGTTAAGGTACCCCCGGTTCTATGGTCTTATTCATCGTACCAACCAATTCTATAGATAGTTGCAGAATCCTTGTCCTCCTCGCTTGGCCATCCAAGTGATTGTTCAGTCCTGTTCATTCACGCCTCGCTCAACAACAACTGGCGTCAAGTTTGGCCTATCATCTTTGAATTACTCGATCCCGACCGCATCCCTTCCAACGCGTCGAATCCGTCCGTATACACTTACGACGAGCGCATTGCTATCGAAATAGCCTGGCTAATAGTGGTGGAGGTGGCCGAGGCTGACACGCTGTCCGGTATGCAGTCAGATATGGAGGAAATTTGGGAGAGGCTTTGGCATTGGATGGTTGTATTCATGCAACGCAAACCCTATACTCCAGGCAGAAAAGCTGTCGACTCGACGGGAATTCATCCATCCCTAATCTGTTTAGCGGTCACCGCTCGTTTCCTTCGCCACTCTGGTGTCCACTCGCGTATTCTGTATGGGACAGATGCGATTCTGCTTTATATCGAAGCATGGACTCGTTGTTGCAAAGTCGAAGTGAGGGATAATCGTTGGAGTCGCCTAGGTTTGTTGGCGATATACGACATTCTGCGCCCAATGATTCCGCTCATTCCCTCTCACATATCAATTGTCTCTGACGCCGCGGGTGCCTCTCATTCGGCTAGGGCTTCCTTCTTCAAGGATAGTTTCGCCGTCTTGCGAAAAACTAGATGATACGATCATATCCGACTTCGCCATAGTATCGGTCACTTGCTTCTGGAGGTCATTAGACGACACACTCGACTCTCGAGTTCTACGAACCCAACTCATCAAATGCGGAGCGCTAGGAGAAATGGCATCGGCCTTGTTCGCCCTAACTAAGGATCTGGACTTCTCCGACGATCGAGACTCCGCCGTGACTCAATTATTGATCCTGATGCTCAAAACAAGCCAATATCATTGGGAATTCGGTTCTTGGTCGCTCGCGCTGTCAAATGGAGGTTTGGATGGAACTTTGACGGTCATGCAACGCACCCGGTCAACGATGACCCAGCGCCTTACTGATATGGTCCTATGTGCAGCATTGGGTCGAGGGCTCTGGCGTATTTCGCTATTACGCGCCTTTGCGCACTATGAATTCGACCGTAATCTGCTCCGCCCTACTGAAGCCATAGTTACCCAAGAACATCGCGGCTTAGTTGACGCTTTTGTTGGCTGCATTGATCGCCGACTTCAACAGCTCCAGGGGTTCGCTGACCAGGTCAATCGCAGAATGTGCTGGACCGTAAGTCGACTGGGTAACACTCTCGGCGATGTATTGACTTCTTACAGTGCGGTCGCATCTCAGAAGACGGTAAATTGAAGCGTTGTGGCGGTTGCAAGGAAACATACTATTGCAACCCTTCATGCCAAAAAGACCATTGGCCTGTGCATCGAGAAGAATGCCATGTGCGCAGGTTTTCGCAACATAGTTGGTTATACATTTCCACGTGTTTATCACTCTGACTGATACTTAGTCTGTAAACTCGACTCTCGAACCCGTGCGTTCGTACGATATATCATGGACGAAGACCTGTTGGCTTCGTTCTCTACCTTGAAAAATGGAGTCATCGATATATTAACCCACGAAATCGATTCGACCATCGTCTTGGTTTTCGACTATCGTTCGCCTAATTTTGGAGTCATCTGTAAAACGGGACAAGAGTGTGCACTGGACGGGACCTTTGACGACTATGGAGGTTGCGATATCACTACCCACTACCGGCGGATGGGAGACCGCATCGCGTTCGATATACTCAAGATCGCCGGCCAAGACAACGACTACAATTATGTAGTTCCTCGTTATTCGAAGGAACCCATGGGGAAAAGTTGGTGGGAAACATTGAACGCGGAAAAAGTAACCCAGTCGTTTCATTAGCAGACACTTTCCTTACTTGATGAATGAAAAACAATTAACGGCGCGATCGAGTCAAATGGCCCCATTTAAAGCAAGGTCCCAGTCTACGGCGATCACGCCGAAGGCCCCTTGTAGAATCGGGGGTGACAATGGTTGGGGCGGTGCTGTATTGCGAGAACAGCGTGTCGACATCACTGACTGTGGAAGTGGGAGATGAAGGAGACGTAGGGGAGGGGGGAGGTGAAAAACGAGCAGCGCCATGAGGGCTGTTGGCTTTAGTGTTCTGGCGAATGGCGACCTCAATCATGAACACAGTCACCACTTGCAACCCAAGTCAGAGCATACGTCGGGTAGCAAAGAGACGCACCACTCAGGTATTTGGGGTTGGCAAGCACCTTCTCTACCGTTGCCTTAATGTTAGGGGCAACATCTGCATCAAAAAACCTCAGAGATGGACGCTTTGAACGACCAAAGTGGCTCACTATCGCTGAGGTACCCCAGCTCCTCGAGCTCTTCAGGCGTCAATTCAACAATCTCTGCGCGAAACATATTCAGTACTTACTCGCAAGCAAGACGGACATCACTCACTCTTGTCTTGATATTCGGGCGTCAATTCAGCTCTCTCTGCGCAAACCACCACTCAGTACTCGCAAGCAAGAGCAAAGACACTCACTCTGGTTTTGTTCCATAGCAGGGTGGCAAGGAAGGAGCGATGGGAGACGCAGAAGCCCCTAAACTCGGTGCATGTCACATGATCTGTCCACACCAACTTTGTTTCCTCGTCCAGATTACAGTACAGTAATATTTTTACACCGACTGGTGCACAGCTCCCGCTTGGACCGATGCAGGCCCAGTTCCACCCTCTGAAGCCCCAGGATCATGAATGTGTTGAGGCTGATATGGCTCCATGTTCACCCCCTCGCGCTCCTCCTCGAAGGAGTCCGGGGGACGGTACCCGTCGATCGACTCGGTGCTCCTCCGGCTTATTATTGCTTGGCGCGAAGAATGGCGCTTCAGCAACGCTTGTTAGCCACACACCCGCATGCCCGCGGCTCTGCGCGATGATGGCCAGAACGAGGATGAATACCGTGTACGCCATAACTTTAAGACTTCAGATTATGTAACTCGTGAAAGAGAGATCGTACGGATCAACCAGTTCAGGAAGGAAAAGGCTTGAACACCAGCCGTTTGCCTGCAGGCACTTTCGATCCTGCTACTAAAGTAGTCGCCACAGCGGGATATGAAGTTGACTGAAGCCGCGTTGGTCGCGTCTGCCGCTGTCGCGAGCCAGAGCACCCACAAAATAACTGTACTGAGTCAGAAGACAGCGCCCAACCGTAAAAAAATGGGAACGCACAAAGCCATGAAATCTCCACGGCAATCTTGGACGTGAATACACGTCCCGGTTGGAGGAATTCGAACGCAATCATAACGGGTATCGTGACAATCGTGATAGACGCAGTCGCGATAGCCAGTGCAGCAAACTGCAGGCATGTAAGCATGCCGCAAGGGGGGGAGGTATCATTAAGCCCCACCTCGAAGTAGCCCCCAAGATACTTTTCCGTGGTCGCAGTCAGCCCTGCGGCGAGGCCAAGCACAATGACCGCGAACAAAAGCGCGACGCCTGAAGAAGTAGGTAAGAAGCGAAAATGTCAATGAGCGATGATGAGCACGTGCCGAGAGCAATGAGTCGTAAAAGTGGGACAATGGGCAGCTTGGGCATTGGTAGGTCGTAAGGTTGAGGGAATGAGCACTCGCTGGCACTTGTGATTTATAGAACCGAGACAGGAGGTTCCAATGACTTCACTGGAAGAGTAAGCATGTCAAAGTGAAACAGCCTCTTTGCCAAGCCCGACGGCTCCTTTTTCTCAAAAATTGTGGCTGAAAGATGAGCAAACTCAGTGGGACTTGGTTTCTTGAAGTTTTCTTCGAGCCTTGTCAAAGTCTTGTGCTGAGGAGCAAGCAAGGCATCACCGAAGGCTTGGTCAGCTTCGTCCACCATCGCAAAAATCACTTCAAGTCGCGGCTTGAGCAAACAAACGATTGATAGCAAGAGGTGTTACAAAATAACGATATCAGGGACTCACTCCCAATGACGGCTTGAGCGAAAGCTCTAACAAATGCTTGCGCTGTTTTGTTCCTATCCATCTATCCAATCGTTGTCCAGCTCTAGGAGGCTGGAACGTCGTCCACGACGAATTCGCGTCCAATAGGCTCACTATCCTCTCCCCAGAGAGACCGGATGAACCAGGAGCCAAACGAGTGCTCGACATACGCGACGCCACCGGTCTGTACTGAGAACTCCAAGTGCGGGCGACGAGAGGCAAGACGGTGGGTCACGACGTGGCAGATAAGAACGAAGAAGATGAGGAAAAGCAGCAACAGTGTGCGAGCCTTATATTGAAGCGGAGGCGCATAGGACCGAATGCGTTCGCGGAGGGTTGGCTTCGGATAGAAGGCAATGCAAAAGTCTCTGGCCGATGAAGGAGAAGAGGGAGTAACGATGATAGCAGGGGTCGAGCAGTCTTTTTCGACTTTGAAAGGGAGGCTGAGGTCTAAAAGAGGAAATGCGTATCATCAGGGCCATTACTACATAGAGATTGGTGAGATTTGAACCCACCTAGAGGAGCTGGTATCAAGGTATAGTCAACGCGATGAGGGAAACGGTGAAGTCTGGGTGCTTTGGGCTTGTGAGTGACGCGCAAAAGCTGGGGGAGACAGACATACAAGAACGGGGTGAGGGCATAATATGTAGTCCGAAGAGACCAGGGGGAAAAGAGTGTGATTAAACGAATGTGAGGCGGGCTCGAGAATCCAGGAAACAGTCGTTGAAGACCGCTGCAGTGGGGGCTGTTGGTGGCGGAGAGAAGACAAGGGCTTGATCGTAACCTCCTCTGTGACAAAACATGATGACAGCTTCGGATGAGAAGTCAAATCTTTCCAGCTTTTGCGGACTTAACAGTTAGAATCTTGAACCAGGCAGGACTCAGGAGCTCGGTCTACAGACACCTAAAATCAACGAGTTCTTCCAGATTTTGAACGGCACCGCATCACGTGTTCATCTATTTTTTTGCCCACAACGGCAATGACCGCGTTGCACGCATCCTCCAATTATGTCGCAGCTGATGCCCCCCTTCAATCCCAAGATCTAGGAACAGACTCGTCCTACATTCTTTCGATTGCGCGCCTGCCTGGAAGTTATGCTGCCTGCACCTCCGCGCCGTCAAATAAAATTCATCTGCTGGACCCATCGACTATTCGTCCAATCCTCAGCTTGTCCGGGCATGACTCGGGCACGACATCTCTACGTGTTGTGAATGCCGTAGCAAATATTTCCAAACCGAGTCTTGTGTCATCTGGTTTAGATGGTAGCATACAAGTCTGGGACGAAAGAACCAACACCTATAGCATTAAAAGTACGCGTCTGTGATCTTGCCGAAAAGTAAACTAATGGTGCAAGAGTGACTGATCTCGGGCAAAGCACAGGGATTCTATGCTGCGATGTTTCTGAAGACGGCATGACGGTAGTAGGGGGTACACAACTGCAAGGTGATGAGGCCCAGATCATCTACTGGTATGGATACTTCTCTTAATTTGCGACCGGACTTAAATTTCTCTCGCATAGGGACCCTAGGCAACCTGCCGCGCCTTTACGGAGGCACACTTCCACCCATTCGGATAATGTTACGGTCTTGCAATACAGTCCTGATACCCCCAACCTCTTGCTCTCTGCTTCTACAGACGGCCTTATCAGTACTTCCATCGCGACTGAGGATGACGAAGATGAAGCCGTCGTTCATGTCGGGTTCTGGAATTGCAGCGTCTCCCAAGCCGGCTGGATCCACTCTTCAACGACAACCGGTGTCAAAATATGGGGGCATAGCGATATGGAGACGTTTAGCACGTGGTCAGATGAGGTTCCCTCTCAACTTGCTGTCCTCTTCATCCTTTCTGATTCCTTGCAGCTCGATTTGAGGCAAAGCCAGGACATACGTGACCCGTCCTTGCACAACCATTCGCAATATGAATGGCACACCGACTATCTGATCAATTGTCATTCGAGTAAGACCTCGCCAGATTTGAAAGTCTTCGTGGGATCCAATCAGTGGGTAGTTCTTTTGGGGCGATCTCCGGCATCTCTCAAACACGTTTAGAGGAGACTTCGCTTTACTTTCGAATGGAGATCTATCGCAACCAGGAGCACCCTGGCGACTAATGAACTCGTGGTCCAATGGTCATTCGGATGTTGTTCGTTCTCTCTATTGGGATGAAAAGGTTGAACGATAAAGCCAATTTCTCCTACTCACATTTCACTAGAACTCCGTCATTATCACGGGCGGCGAAGACTCCAAGATCAATCTTTGGAATGCACCGTCAAGCTTTGATTCTGCAGGGTTAGACGACGCAATGGAGGTCGATTCCCCGCCTCCGGACTCCCGGAAACGGGATCGGGAAAACGATGATAGTCACGTATGCCTGCTCCTTCGAATGCCAGTTTAGAGTGCCAATTGATTTACTTTTTAGGGAGGGAAACGTGCTCGACGATGAATCTATTGGCTATTTACCTATACAAAAGTCCCTGAAAATAGAATCCAGTATATCTTCAATATCTATGCGTCCCGAAACCTTGCCTACAGCTTGCGCTGCATATCGAAGCTCTTCCGCACCGAAAACAACCTCGTCTGCCGCTACAATGACTTAAATTAGTCTTGATCAACGCCAGAAATCACAACTCAACTTGTTTCCAAAAATGCCTCGATAAACCCTGCGGCCGACTCAAGGTGAATGCGGTGTCTTGCGTGGGTGATCAACGGCGCTTCAGACGAGGAGCCATCCTGGTCGAGATCATATCTGTTGCCTCTATCAGGATTTTAAGGAGATTAGGACAAAACACAGACTTGGAACGGAGAGATTCGGCAAAGCCTGCAAGAAATTCCGTCGTGCCCTGGCCCGTTTTCAGACTTGTCATCCAACGGTATGGATGTTCGACGCTGAAAGAGTCCTTCTTGAGCAAGTCCATTTTATTAAACACCATGAAGGTGTCCTTCGTCACAAGTTCCCTCACAGAACTTGGCAACTCGGAGGAAGCACCCAAATCTTCGCAGGAGACGACACATAATGCAATGTCTGCTGCCTGGATTCTTCAAGTGTAGGTGGTCAGATCGATTAAATTGCTGGGACGGAATCTTACGCTTTGCGGGCACGCTCGACACCAATCTGTTCGACTAAGTCGTCTGTCGCTCTGAGGCCTGCAGTATCCGAAATAATGACCGGAATGCCTCCAATATCCAGCGATAACTCGAGGATGTCTCGAGTAGTTCCAGGAACTGGGGTTACAATGGCTGCTTCTCGCCGGGCTAAATTTGGTGAGACTAACCATCAAAGGCTGCAGGGCCGAAGGTACATACCAAGGAAGTTGAGCAAACTACTCTTGCCTGCGTTTGGCGGCCCAAAGATTGTCAGTCGAACCCCACTTCGCATGATTTCTCCGCGTCTATTATCACTTAAATACGATCGAATCGTGGTCAGCAACTTGGTAGCATTGTTTCGGGCTGTGAACAGTTGAGACGGGGCTTGAACCGCAAAAAGTTTGATCACCGTCATCATAGACACCCTCTTCGAGATTTTCACCTTCGCTAAAGTCGATAAGCGCTTCGATTTTGGCTAGACAGCGGATGATTCCAGTCCTCAGTTCTTCGAAGCGAGCACTAGTGGCGCCCTGAAACCAGATTGGCTGTGACCCACATAGAAACGTTGAAGCTCACCTACCCCGGCCGCTTCAAGTGCTAGTCGCCTTTGACTCTCTGTTTCAGCATCTATTAGGTCTTTAAGGCCTTCTACTTGAGCAAGATCTAGTCGTCCACCAAGGAACGCTCGTTTTGTAAATTCGCCTGGCTCCGCAGGCCGACAGTACGGCAGATGAGACAGAGCATCTAGCACAGACGCAATAACCGCTCGCCCAGAATGGATATGAAGCTCAAGAACATCCTCCGTTGTGAAAGATTTCGGGGCTGTCGTCGATTAACTGCCACATTATTGCTCGTTGGCATCCTTACCTTTGAAATACACGGCGAGCCCATCATCGAGCATATTCTTGGTGACTGGGTGCACGATTCTGCAGCGCTCCATTCGCCAGGGCTCTACGTTAGAATGCGAAGAGCGCTGAACGACATTCTCCCAGACTTGCAGTGCGTCTGGCCCAGAAACGCGTACCACAGCGATGCCGGCTTTCCCCGGAGGAGTAGACAGGGCATATATGGTTGCTTTTTGCGCGTCAGAGCGTCGAGGTATATATTCGTGGACGAATCTTCGAGGTTCGAGGCGGTGTTGCTGATGGACGGAGAGAAAAGAAATTCGTGATGGAAAGTTTAAGCATGAAGTAAGATGTCTGGTCCGTCGCACAGCGGTGGCGACCGCGCATTGCATTGCTTCAACCAACAGCAAGTCAAAGAAAACGAGGAGCAATGACGCCCATCACAATGCGCGGCACGTGAGCATTCAAGCTTGTCTGTCTTCTTGCAACTCGAAGCAAAAATGGGTCAAACTAGTGAGTACGTCGAGATCCCCGCGGTTTGCACTCAAGTCTCGCAGCATCTGCAGCGTTTATGGAGGATATGGAGAGGCGGTCTAATTGTCTGTTGCTCTTTTGCCTCGCACGAGCAATCACATCTCACCAATAGTTCAGTTACACAACCAGAACTGGAACGCCTCAAGAAGCGGTTTATGAAACTAGATGTGTAGGTTCTTGAACTACTTCCGACGATGAAGTTGGTCAATGTGTCTAAGCGACGGCTCTGGGTCAATCGATCGAGAAGAATTCCTCCAACTACCACAGATAGCAACAAATCCCCTCGCCTCTCGCATGATTGCGATTTTTGACGAAGAGTGCGCATTCTAATCAATATCATGGGTCCTTCCGGTTCTCATTTCTATGCAGTGGAGGAGGCACTGTTGACTTCCAAGAGTTTGTGGGGGGCTTAAGCGCTTTTAGCAGTCGAGGGGGTCGGGAGGAGAAATTACGCTGTGCGTTTCATCCCGCGCTTTACTTTCTGCTTGAACCGTCCGCTAACACAGGGTCATAGTTGCATTCAAGGTATACGATGTGGATCGGGACGGCTATATTTCCAATGGGGAGCTCTTTCTGGTTCTGAAGATGATGGTGGGCAACAACCTCAAGGTTTGCTTCTTCTTCAGCATTAGCATCAGCCACCGACGGGCCCTGCAGGACCAGCAACTGCAGCAAATAGTCGACAAGACAATCATGGAGGCTGATCAGGATGGAGATGGCAAGCTAAGCTTCGAGGAGTTCTCGCAGATGGTGTCGAATACGGTGAGAGACACTTGCTATTCGGTTCGCAGTTTGGTCGTCTCTGATAACAAGTAGGACATTGTCAAGCAAATGACATTAGAAGACTTATTTTGACGGACTCTCTCGTATACCCTCCTCACCTTTCCCTCCCGCTGATACATGTGGCTCATTCTCTTTTGATTACTGCGTATTCGGTGAAGGTTTTGTATCGAAAAGAAACTAATGGCAAAACTCTGTATTCCCACGAGCAAGTGATTAAGATTGATTTGAGGTACTTGACACAAAGGACTACAACTGCAGAATGAGTACAGTAAAACTTTCTATGTGCGAGGTATCGAATGCATATGAGAGACGGAATGGGGGTGTCACAATCAAAGGATGGGAATTACACAACGAATTTCGTCGGAGGCTATACGTCGCGAATTGTCCAAGTTCGTTTTTTGGACGACGAGAGAATCGGAGGGAATGGTGATGTGATGTGGCGTTCGATCTATCGAGAGGTATTGCCCACCAATATCGACTGCGGGTCCATGGAGAGAGGAGGTTGGGCATGAGCAAGTCGTTGGGCAAAGAATGGGGACTGTGTTGTTGGGAACGCAGCTTGGGCAAACACAGAATGGTGGGGCATGGCAGCAGCCTGGAGCTCAGCGATGTAGAAGGGATCGGTAGAGGTGAATGATGAGGAGGACATTGACAGGTCTAATGGGACGCTCGTTTGGTTGAGTGATTGTGGTGTCGCAGCCGCAGAGTGGTGGGGAATAAGGATATCTTCGACCATACGCTCGTCCTCATCCATCTCGTCAGACATCAGAGTGTCTTTCTTCGAGTGAGCGTTAGGCTGCTGCGACAAGTCCATCATAGGACTCCAACTGAAGCTGCTGGAAGGTGTCCGTCCAGTTGGAGTGTTGCAGGGTTGCGCATAATCGTTGGGTCGTGCTGAGGGAGTGGAAGCGAGCGGCTCGCAAAACAATGTTTGCGAAAGTTGAACCTAACGAAAGAAGTATTGTGGGTATGTTGCACGAAGCTGTTTACACATCGTAGTAAGCACCTGTAGAGCAGCAAGGTCGATCGCTTCCTGGCCGACATGACTAGACGATAGCGAAGCGCAAAGGTCCTCTACAGTCAAACTCATCGCTGCAGCCACCACACGATAAGACTCTATGGGGGAGGGGTGTCCCGATAAGCTCCGAAGGATGAACGCAGGCGGCAACGAGGAGGTCGCTCAAAAGGAGTGATGATGGACGTGTGGGGAAGAAATGGTGTTGACGTTGATACTTAAAGAGCTTAGACCCTTTCCGGACCGCTCCGATGCGTCAGTGATCCAGACCGCTCGGATGTTCGGTTTCCTGAGCCGGATTGGCTTCTCTTCTTCCATTCTACATCTTTCATGCGCTACTTGTTCAAGTTACTACTGCTTTATGGACTTGTGGATTGTGGATGCTCTATGAGAACTCAATACAGTGACAACGAGGCAAAATCTAGCCGAGGACTACCGGCAATCATTAACCCCGAAGTCATCAGGATTATCAGTAAGCTAGATAAGATTATAGCTTCAAAAGAATATAGATACACTACACAATTTTGGCAGATATCTCAAAAAGAAAACATTAATTATTTAAAAAAATTAAAGTGGCCAACTACTTTGCAAAAGAGAGGAAGCAAGGAATGAATAAGATCTGAAAACTATAGAAATATGTGAGAGAGCAATGAGATATCTCAGAGAGTAAATAACAAGCCTAATTAATGTGCTGGAGAACAGTCAAATTAAGACATACTATGGTAATCACAAACTGCCCAAGACAGGATAGAGAGCAAAACATGCTGTTCCTATAGATTGTTAACTTCAAAATTATATTATCTATTTTTTGGTAGTATATAATAGAAAATAACAAAATTATCTCACACAGTTGTGTAAAGTGTAGATATTATCTAAAAAAACATTCCTGTAAGGAAAAGGGGAGAAATGGCTACTGCCCAGGAAGATATATACTGATATCATACTTACTGATCTGTTCAAGGAGTTATCAGTAAGCATGCCTAACCAGGTTCTTAATATCAGACTAGGATCTATTCTTGGGAGACAGCCTCCTGCTGGCCTATAATATAGTTTTTCGATCAGTTCAGCATGTCACAGTCACACCTGATTTTCGGAAACATTAACAATATTTTTTCTTCTCAATTTTCCTTTGGGCGACTTTTGATTCCATCAAAAAGCGGTGATCTGCCGAATTGAATAAAATACTATAGTAAGCCAAAATCTGGTCTATATCTAGTCTTTATTCAGGTACCTGTTTCTTACCTTATTCAAGGCATATGGTTTTAGATAATCTGTTCATTGTAGAGCTTTCATATTAGAAAAACTGCCTCTAATACAATAACTCTAAACATTGCTCAGCAGAGGTATAATAATACTACTATATCATTTGTCATAGTAATGACCAGGTTCAGCCAAAACCTATCTCAAACCAAACCAGGGCTCAGGTTCGGCTGGGTTGGCCCTTTTTTGCCTGCAAAAGGCCTGTTCCCCATTGTTACGTGCTGCGTGTTATAGGCCTGACACCAGTGCCAGAGCAGATGGGCCAGGTCTTATCAATGACAAAGTATAGGCAACCCTAGAGCCCTGAGCTCAAGGTTCTAGCAGGAGAGAATCCAAAGAGAAGAAACTCTAAGGGTTGGCTTGCTAGGTAGCCAACTATATACTACTTGTCTGCTGCTACTACTGTCAGGTGCAAAAGGCCTGGATGGTGTTGTAGACCAGGTCCTAGGGCAACTGTCAGGCGGGCATTAATAGATCTGTGATAGCATGAGTGAGAGGGGCATTGGAGCGGAGACGGATCAGAGATGGAGGCATCTGGGGGGTTCCCCTGACATTCTATTCATAGGTACTGTAACATTTTAATCAATTCAGCGGTCACGCGTCACACTAACCCTCTGTTGCTGAAATATTTTAGTGTGTCACAGGCGACTGGTCAAGGTGCCGAATGTAAAATGGCCATGACAGGATTATTTGATTGAAATAGTATAGTATATAAGTATTTTACTTGATTCAACTGGCATTTTACATATGACATCACATATGAAATTTTGAATTCATATAATTACCTAATTAGGCGACTCTTGGCACCAGAGGCGCTCAAAAAATGTCGAAAATTACCATTTTAGGATGTGATTTTGCTGAAACTCATGTGACATGTGAAAAAATCATATAACAGCGGGGGTGTGATGTGTGACATTCAAAATGAGTAAAATACTACAGTATTCTGCTATAGGAACAGGTGACTTGAGATTTCGAACAAAGATGCTAGAGTATATCTAGATTAAGATCCTCATGCCAATGGTGCAGGTTACTTTACTTATGAAACAGAAGTTACATTATGTGACATTTTCCCAGTGACAGATGATTTCATCAATCAAAAGAGCCATCACTTAGCCACTCCTTTATTGTCAACCACCACCACCATCCTTCATATTGGTTCAACTCCCATAATTTTAGGTGTGAGTATTGTTATTATTGTTGTTGCTCTTTCTTTTCGTTTTGTATGCGGTTTTCATACTGCAATTTGGTCATATATTGGTGCTCTCTCCTTTTGAACACAAGGATCTCAACTTTCACTTTCATGGTGCCTTGCTGTTGCACTTCAGATGCACGTGTGGTTACATACTTTCTTCCTTTTCTGAGTCTTGTCACAGTCGTATGGACATCTGCTGATTATCTTAGGACACACTTGGCGAATGGGCCACTCTGCATCTGGTAGCTCCAAGCTTTCCCCCTTTCACATCTCTCTCATCCAAGCTCTGGTAGAGAATGAGCTGGATATGAAACATCGGAGGTGGGGTGACCTGACTGATGATCACCATCAATTTCCCCACGACAATTTGGTCCCGTCTAGCCACAGTGGTTCGCAGTCACGATTATTTCTCTTGCCCGATGCCTCATACGACGTGGTCAATGGCAAAGTGCTGCCACGCCGCCAAACACTCCCCGATATCGGAAATATCATCGATGCCCCCAGACTACCACCATCAACTACAGCAACATTCACGGTCACAACTTCTCCAACGCCGATAAAGGAAGAGTTCTCCTCTAGTATCACAACACCAAGCCGTTTCTTGCACCTGGATGGATCATCTCGCTCTAGCAGTATCGGCCTTGTTAGTTATGACAATGAGCCTGGTGAACTATCGTCAGGGAGGGCAACAAAGAGAGCACGGTTGACTCCGGGGACGGATGACGAGCTATTACTGCCATCATCGCCGCGGAAGACCCTTGGCGGAACTAAACGACTCCCACAATTCACTGAAGACCGCGCGGAAACATCGAGCGAAGCTTCAACTCATGGATTAGAAGACTTGCTCAGCGTCGAACCTGCACCAATTGGCGCCATACGCAGTGGACTATCAATGAACCGGGATGGAGCGAAGACCATGATTCAGCAGATGGGTGCCCAGCCCGGAAGGCAAACCAAAATTGAAGAGATACTCGGTCGTCCATATGTTCGAGCACGAAGAACCCCTGCAGCGGAGTATTTGGAGAGGTTGGAGGATTGGTTCGGACCGGGAGATCCCTTGCGCGGAGAAGAAGAGCCCGACGACAAGCCAGACGAGCCAGACAAGGAGCGTGAAATGAATGACCGTGCTCAACAATGGATATCTCAAATTCAGATGGTGGCAAAAGGGAAAAAGACGCTTACGCGCGAGGTGCGTCTGCTTATTCATCGCTACGAGCTCAGAACCAAGTTTATGTGAAGGACATGAGAATTCTCTCCGAATCGTTGCATGAAATCGCCTATATGTCCTCAACTACTGCAGAGACGATCAAGGTACTTACCTGCTACTGACTTTGTCATCACTATCATCTGAATTTCTTGCCTAGAATCACCTTCCAAAACTACTTCACAGCCTGGAGCACTTGGCCCTGGTTGATATACCTCCTGATCAGGATGAGTTCAAGGTCATTATTTGGGCCCGGAACCTGGTCAAAAATTGGCCGCGATAGAGTAGAATAAGAATAGAGATTTCTTGCTATAGCCTATGTCGTGTCTAATCAAAGCCTCGTGCAAGTCAGCCAAATAAAGACGCGTCTCTCTGTCCGACCACCATGTCTGATTCGCAATACCGACCTATCCCTCAAACACCAATACCGGACAATGCAACAACACATCAGGAAGAGATGCACGACGAAACCGTCTTGTCTCTCATTTCCACCCCAGCATCGGTCTTGCGCTCATGAAATGTAGAACCGTCAGCGGTCCAGTGAGATGGATCCATTTCGTTCTTGGCTGCGCTATACTGTTACCCTGGAATGGTTAGCCAAAGCTTATTAACTGCTAGCGTTGTCAATGACTGACCCCGGTCTTATAGTGATGATTACAGCGATGCCTTATTTCTTCACAAGACTTGCCGGCTCCCCATTACGGTGTGTCGTCGAGACAATCTCTTTCCAACCATCTAAGTCCTATTCTAGTCTTGCATTTGGGTCATGGCTTGCCTGCTCTTTCACGTTGAGCAATTTTCTATGGCTTGCTCTCGCAACTGTGACGGCCAAATCGGTACGCACGCCTTCCAAATGCACGACTGAGCATAATCCAATAACTTAGTCCTCTCCATCGCGCCGAGTCCTCGTCACCCTCTTCTCCCTGAGCGTGTTAACTGCTCTCCTCACGTTCAGCACCTTCGTGACAGTCAATGCCGGCGTCTTCTTCGCATTCGTCCTTCTCAATGGGATTGCACAAGCCGGCCTCGGCGCCTACCTACAAACTGCAGTCATCGTAATTGCCTCTATACTGGGGCCAACCGCAGTCCAAGCCCTCATGTCTGGACAAGCCGCTGTTGCCGTTGCCGTGTCTGGTGTTCAAGTCTTCAGCGCTGTTGCGTCCGTTTGGGGTCGCTCCAAGGAAGAAATCGCACAGACCCTTACCAGTGGAGAGCCCGAAGAGCGTTCTGCCTTTATATTCTTCACCCTCTCGACCGTATTCTTAATACTCGCTGCTGGAGCCCAGAGTTGGCTTGTCACAATGCCCGTCTACAAGTCCATCACCAGGTCGCTTGAACGGCAAAAGATGGATGAGAGCTCAGATGAGATACGCGGTTTGGTCTCTGACCGACCCAACTCCGACCCCAAAAGCCAGATTATTCGCGTCGCCAAGACTAATGGTATGCTTCTCATTGACCCACATTGAAAACATTGAAACTGATTTTTTTTAGTCATTTTCGAGGTCGCCGTGGCCTATGTCTTCATTGTTACACTGGTGAGTCGATGAGAGAAACCTTATATCACTGAACCGAGCAGAAGATAGGCTGTCTATCCCGCAATCACAACTTCAATCCAGCCAACAAATCCGAACACACACCCGTTACTTTTCAGTGCAGTCCACTTCCTCGTTTTCAACTGTGGAGACTTCGCAGGACGATACATCTGCTCGTTCCCCAAGTTCCTCGTCTGGTCCCCAAAACGACTCCTGACCCTGTCTCTGGCACGCACACTGTTCATTCCCTTATTCCTCATGTGCAATCTGCAACGTCCCGGCTCAGACGGTCCCTCGACGGCTGCCATCAATTCTGACCTTTTCTTTATGCTCCTCCTGCTCGCCTTTGGCCTGTCTAATGGTTGGATATCAAGTCTATGCATGATGGCTGCGCCGTCATTAGAGCATAACCCTCGTCTTGCCGGGCGTAGGGAAGATGTCGACGTCGCGGCCACTGTTGCCAGCTTCTGTCTGGTTGCAGGACTGATGCTCGGCAGTATATGCAGCTTTGCCGTCCGAGCGGCAGTTTGCCAATGCAATCCATTCACCGAGACACAACCTTCATAGCATTCATCTGCAGACGTATAGACTTTGTAATTCTAATACTATAATCACAACTGCTTATTCCTCTTTTGCCCGCATTAAATATCGCCACAAGGATACCAATAAGTAGTTACTGACTAGGCTACAAGTTCGTGAATCGTCGTAAAGTCGTCAAGGGTCGGTGTACGGTCATTATTTTCGTCAGTCATGAGAGAAAGGGGAACTCGAGAGTAGGAAACCGAGTCGTAGAGGACGAGCTAAGCTAACGGGTCGACAGCATGGGCTGCCAAACACCATAGCTCACCTCTTCAAGATGGTGTAGTTGGACGCGGTGGGGCGGAACCGGAACTCCGTTGGTCTAGACGAGAACACATCAATGTCTAGAGAAGGAAGGGAGACGAAGTAATGCTCACGTTGAGATAGTGGTCCACTGCTCTAGCGACGCGTCTCCCGAGGACCTATGAGTTGACATAAGCAAGAGCGGAAATAAGGATGCCAAAACAAGAAAACAAACCTGCATATCGATGCATCGATGGTGGTTGCGGTGGTACTCGAGTGGCACGAGATAAACCAGGGGAGCATAGCCATTCCACTGTACCCTCAATCGGATCTGGCGGTACTCCGAGTGCAAGTCTCCCATCGTGTACCTGTCGTTGCCAGACAATTTGGTGCGGGTCGATTGGGCGTCCTCGAGCGAGATGCCGCCCAACAATGCATTCTTACGTTTGAACTTGATGTGGAGCGAGCTTGGGGGATGGAATGTGCCGTTGTCGATATAGGTCGGTGGGAGAGCACTATAGGAAACAGTCGAGTGGCGGCGGTGGCGTGTCGGGTATAGTGAATGCTGGCTATATCCATGTTGAAGCGGCTGGAGTGGCGTGTGTGGTCTCGCTAGTTGCAGCTGCATATTGTTCTCGTCAGCATAGTACGGGTCGGTTCTCCCTAGCGAAAGGTCATCGTAGGCTACAAAACTGGGTGAGCTGTGCTTTTCAAAAGGAAGGGAGAGCAAGAAATACAATGTCCATGTCGATTCTGGTGGTAAGGAGACTGGTGACCGTACGACTGGTGTTGACCGTATGATTGTTGGCCGTAATGCTGACCATACTAAAAAGCAATGTTAAACGACGAAGACGCAGAGAAATCGCCACATACCGGCATGTCCAGCGCCTGGTCCTGGTAACCGTCATCATGGTACGGCGAGTACCCCTGGTCATATTCATAGCCGCGGTCTTGGTACTGGTAATTTCCCATTTGCGGTGCATAAGACATTGAGGCACGCCGCGAGAGGGGGGCGAGCAGGGAAATGAGTCATCGAAAATTGCGGATGGGGGAGCGGGACAGGAATGCCAGGCGTGCAAGTGCGAGTCAGATGCTTTTATAGCATTGTGGGTGGCAACAATGAGGCCGCCAGAGTATAGGTTAGGTCGCTCTCAGGATGGCCTCGAGGACACAGGCTGGGGATTGACGTGGAACTTGAAGTCAAAGCACAGATGTTGAACTGGAAAATTAGGCAGATAAGAGAAATTGAAAATCGTGCTCTGCAAGACCTTGAATCAGAGCTCAGCGGGTCCTCGTATCTAAAGGCCTCAGTTTTTTGGGGGGCGGAAGTCACGAGTAGGGTCTTTCCAAGAAACCCAATGAGGCCGAAATGAAATGGCCACGTGGTTACGGTGCCAAAGAACAACCTCTCTTTGTTTTATGCACAGCCAAAGAAGTAAAACGGTCAAAGCACTCTAGATATTGCTGTGCGATGACAGGATGCTGGTCAGGTACTTAACTTCAACACTTCTACAGCCTGCCGAGCAGGGTGTCTACGGTCTTGGAGGTGGTTTCCTTCTCTTCCTTGATGATATTGCCAAACGCCTTGAATTCAGGTATAGCCGCATCCCGAACAAGTTGATAGCCCAGGCTTTCGCTGCTGACTACAATAGCACCGGAAGCACGCATTTGGGCCCTGGAGACAGGTTGAGGCAAATGATACAGCAGGCAACCTGGGACCAACAGTGCGATTGGAACCTCGGCTGGGTTACAAGACGAGACCCCGTCGGCGAGAACATAAACCGCGTATTTCTTCGGGTGGACGAGAAGAGAGAGGGCCGTTTGGAGGATGCAGATGTGACTCTGGCGAGGGTAAGAAGGAGCGTCAGAGCCGAAATAACTACAGACTTCAATCCCAATCAACACGATATTCTTGATATGCGGACGCTGCTCGCTGATGTCAGCCTTCGGAATGTGTCGGGAAGACAGCAGGAGAGACCGTTGTGATTTGGGAGAGAACCTCGGGGGTTAGCATCGAGAAAAGTGTTTTGTCGAAGGTTCCGATGTGCAGAGGCCCAAGTGATTCCAAAGCGATAGCAGGGTCGGTTGGTCCCAAGGCTTGTTCTAGTCAGCCTAGCTCTGGAGAGCTTTATTGGCAGCTACCCTTGGTCTTCTGTGTGGTGACTAGCACTTCACAACCCAACACCTAAATATAGTTTGAGTTGAAGGGTTCATTCACATTCCTCTAAGCTGACATCACCTTCGCAATTTTGAGGACCTTATTCGTCGTAGCCACGACATGGTCAAAGCCAGAAATAGCGGGCCGAAACCGCTCTTGAAGATCACATAGAAGGATTAGCGTGGAAGAAGGGTCCATAGTCGTACAGGTCAAAGATCTACACATCACGTGCTCGTAAATAATCGAATCTATGGAGGAGACGCCCAGGCCCAATCCAACACGCCAATATCTCGGAATATCTTCTTCACCAGATCCTCCTGCTCGACTCTGCTCACGTCATCTCCCCCTCCAACTTCGATTTCTCTCCAAACTCGAACACATTCATGGACTTCTCTCGGAGTGCTCAATCCCACAACCAACGGAATCGCACCACCGGTGTTTCGAATGCAATACCCGGTCGCGAGGTCTGCCAACGAGCGGCCGCGCTCTTTGACCTCTGTTGCCGCGTTTATAGTCGCTTTTCGTAGTTCAGGTGATGCTGGATGCCAATTGGGCGGCCCGGCATCCGTCAAGAGGCCCATACTGAAGGGAGAAGCAGCCAGTAATTGCCCAACTTTGGCGCGACCGGTGAGCTGTGGTGCGAATTGGAGGAATGTGCTACTCTGGAGCGAAAGGTTGGAATAGGACAAAATCACGTCGACAGGTTTGAAAGGTGGGTTGTGAAGAATAAGGAGCGCCAATCGCAGCAACGTGTAAAGAGGATAGCCTAAAGTCAATGAGCTTAGAGACAGAGTCTAAGGTAGTGCTTGCCAGTTATTCCTATGTGCTTGATGAGACCTTCATCCTGCATTTTGCGTAGTTCTGCAATGGCGTCGAGGATTTTCTGGTCGCCTGGCCCTCGTATTTTGCCTTCGTCGCCCTCTTGGAGACCATATGCCTCTTTGTCGTCATCCAAGGCGGATAGATGGTTCCCAGTTCGTCGAGGCGTAACTTCTTCACAGACAAACTCGACATCATGCAGATGCACAACGTCAAAGTAGTCCGCATGCAGTCGCTCTAAACTTTGTTTTACGCTGTTCCTAATGGTCGCAGGCGTATAATCAAAGTCAAACGTTCCATATCGCCCACACTTTGTCATCTAAAAAAAATAGTATAATTCAGCAGCTAGGGTCAAGGTGGAGACGAACCAACTGGTAAGAAGAGCGGGGAAACTCGTCTTTGAGCGTTACAAGGGCTTTACCCAAAAAGTACTTCCGACGGCCCGTAATATACCGACGTGTCGAAAGCGTTGATGCCATACCTAGACTGTAAGATAAGCGGAATAGAAACCACCTAACAATCCTCTTGCTACCTAAGAGCGAGCTGAACGGTTCTTAGAGGCGAGTCACCACTGAGCAGTTCATCCGTCTGGTATTGCGGGGAAAGTGCCCCTCCACCAAATACAATTCTGGGCAAAGCCAACGGAACACCAAGTCGTGGCTAAAAACGCAATCGATCGCTTTTACAACGTTTTCAAGATACCACGAACCACTAATGGCCCAGCGACTGGTTGTTCGTCAAGGAGATCAGTCGATGCCATGAAGGGGGGAGGTGAAGACGCAATAAGTTATAGCCGGATCAAGCAGGTATCACGAGGCCGCTGGGCAAGAACAACGACGAGCACAAGCTCTCGGGTGAAGGAGGGAAAGCAAAAGTCTTTTCGTTGGGCAGAAACAGGAAAGACGATATAAACATCTACAGCTTCTCGCGCTTCCAGCTAGAGGAAGGATAAATTCAGTATTCTGGGGAGGGGGGTCAACGGTATGGGGAGCAACGTACCTCTTATCGAACTTGTGGTTAACCTCGTAGAGCTTAGTGCCTTGGTCCTGCTCGATGGAGAGGAAGGGGTGCGGGTTGTTCTTGGTCCAGACGACTACAACGGGTGATGAGGTCATGGAAACATGGGAGAGAGAGGATAACACACCGGTTGGACCAGTGGCGAGCCGGTAAAGATACCAGGAAGCCCCGACGCATGCTCCACCAACAGCGACATAGCTATGAAAACCTCATGAACCCAACCGCCTGCCAGGTAACAAACCATGGACTCACATTGGAATTGCCTATAGTCGAGCTTGTCAGCAACGTAGCTGATTCAAACGAGTGGAAACTCTACCTCAACGGCAAACCAGTGTTTCATGAAGTTACTTCGGGGCGCCATGGATGGGTAAAAAGAGTGTTGATGTAGCGTGACACACCACTACCAAAAGCTTCAAAGTTTCCATAGCGTGAGTCTTATTGCATATCTAGAATTACAAGTAACGTCCTTCGATGACGAGCAGCTTCAAGCTGCAGTGCCATTAAAAACACCGTGAATGTTTACAAATCAAGCATAAGAAGGGTACATCGCGAAAGCAGAGGCAAGATCAGAGTTCAAGTATGATACTGAATTCAGTGTCAGCTTTACCCTCTAAACGAAAGAGAACGAGGACGACTGACCATCATAAAAATATCGCCTCATCCTCTTGCTTTCTACCCCGACTTCCTTGCAGTGTCTCTCGTTCCAGCCGCGACTTCAAACGTTCAAGCTGACTCTGCTTGGAGACATAACCTCGCTTTACTGGCGCAGCCGATGAAGCAAGAGGTGGCGAGTCATGCACTGTGGCATCACTCGAAGCCATGCCCCAAGATATCAAAGAAGAGAGACGTCCTGCAAGGGGAGAAGACATTATGGAAGAAGCAAGAGTAGAAGGCGAGATGGATGCAGTACTCGTTTCTCCCGTTGGTATATTGCGCTCCGACAAATCAACACTTTTCATGTCTGAACCTTGATGGGCAACTGATTCGTCTGTGTATCTGGAGCGGACATGAGGCGTCGTGTCGTCTACACTAAAATCAGTCTACGCACAAGATAGACGAGGGATGCCCGAACCATTTGTTTGCGCGGCCTTGCGGCTGGGCAGCAAAGGCTGTCGAGGTGGCTGACGGATGAAAGTCGTACTGGGCTTCGTCGATGCATTGGTGGAAAATGACGAAGAGGTGTTGATGCGGGAAGGTGTTGAGGGCTGAGGGATGAATGAGGGCATAACACCTCCACGCTTTGTTGGCGGAGTGACGAAGGAGTTGAGGGGAGAAACGGCTCTTGGTGATGGAGGGGAAGACGGTAGTTTGGAAACGAGACGAGGAATGGAGGAAGGAGAATCATAGCGAGAAACAAGAGTGGGAGGAGTTGATGGGACTCGACCAAAGCTCGAGACCTGATTAAAAGAGGTGAATGACTCTTCGTCATCCTCATCTTCTTCAGTGAAAACCAGCGCTGGTTGTGGACTTGGGGAGGACAAAGCTGTCGCTGGAGTAATTTCGTCCATGGGAGGTGTAAATGTGATCTTGATTCCATTGTTAACTTCTCCGTCTTCAACGACGGTTTCAGCTTCAGTCTCATCCTCCTCCTCAACTGAATCCAGAACGAAAGTAGCCTCTGCGCTCGCAAGCACAGACGCAGGCAAGACAAAGCAAGATTTGGCATCACCGACGTCAAATCCCTTGGCGAACAACCCCTTGCTTGTTTGCTCGTCGTATTCAGCGTAGTTTGGGCAATCTGGTGAAAGAGGCTCGTCGAGATCTTCGAGGCAACCGAAGAATCGATCGACGTCTGATTCTTGCGACTCCGATTTGGGGAGGACATTCTTGGGGAACGTCCATTTAGAAATCGAGAGCTTGGCGCCATGTGTCGGAGCAGCTTGAGGGGCAGTTTCGACTGATGGGTTGAAGTCGTCAAGCGAACCGAAGGATGACGAGGGACTAAGCAAAACATCATTCTCATCCTCGTCTTCATAACCCGCCAGTTCATCCTCCTCTTCTTCCACACAATGCAGTTTGAGAGATGCCTCATCTTCAGCAAACGAGCTTGCGGAGTCGAAAGATGTCAAACCAAGACCACGTTTCATGGACAAAGTGACGGGGCGCAATGGAACAACGGGGCCATCGAAAGCGCGGGGAGTGCTGAGCGGGTCAAGCTCGGGGTAAACCTTGCTCTTCGCTGCTTGCAGTTCGGTGGCAATATTCTCTTTCTCGGCAAGGAGTTGAGAAATTGTCTGCTTGAGATCCTCTTGGCTTTGAATCAATTGGTCGTTGGTGACCTCGAGTTCGCTAACACGCTTGGAAAGACTGTTCCTCTCGACCTCGACAAGCCCCAATTGCGTACGAGCGACCCAGGCTTCCCGACGCTCGACTTCAACGCGGTTGGTGAACACGGTGAGTTGCTTTTCCATATCTGAAACGCGTGTCCTCCATCCTTCAACGTCCCGCTTAAGCTCATCTCGTTCCAGCTTGAGGTCTGTCACAAGTGAAACCATTTCGTCTAGCGGCTCCTCATTGTCGGAGGAACCGGAACGGGAATTAACAGAAAGAGAAGAAGCAACCGAAGAAGGTCGCGAATCGCGGTTACTCCGAAAGGACAACGCTCGCTCCAAATCGGTGATTCGGGCGAGGAGGGCATTATGACTTTTGAACAGAAAGTGCTGCTCGCTGACGCTGAGGGGACGACTGCCCGATATTATGTCATCCTCGAGTCGGGTGCTGCTAGCATTGCTTCCTAGACTACCGCGACTTGAGATGGACGAGTGGGTGAAGGTGGAAAACCGGCGTTCGGAGCAAGTCGGAGTCGACTCGGGTGTCGGTAAACCTGCAGCATTGGAGGTAGATGTTTTGTACGAGATGCTACTCTTGCGTAGTGGTGTTGGCCGATTCACTGCTTCCTCCGGTGATATAGCCTCCGGTGACAGTTTTAGGTTGAGTACCGGACGCGGTCGAGTAGTAGCAGGTGAGACGGCGGCATCGGGGGCCAGAGCAAGGATCTTCAGACTGGAACGCTTCGGTGATGCAGGAGAGGGCAGATTATGTAGTGGAAGACTGTCTGGGGTAAGCGACAGGGGGCGAAGATGAGGAGGTCGTGGCCGAGCGGTGATATTGCGCATGAACAGAGATGTCGGTGTTGTGGGAGTGGGTGGGGCACGTGATTTTTCCGATTCATCTTCTTCCTCCTCCTCCTCAACAAGAGTATGCAAAGAGTCTTTGGACGCAGGTTTGAATGAGTCTCGCTTGACCGCGAATGCACCGGATCCTGGTGGAAAAGATGGCTTGGTCGCTGGGAATCGGAGTTAAACGAGACTGGACTTAAAAGAAGAGAGATTGCTTACGAAATTCAAATGGCACAAGCTCAGGAATTTCTACCTTGGAAAATGACGCGTCACGTTTTCCTTCCAGAGCCCAAAGAGCATTGCGGCGAACGGAATCCCGCTCTGCTGGATCTTCTGCAGGAGAGATGGCAGAGTCCGGAATGGAAACACCCATCATATCTGCTGATTCGCGCCGAGTAGAAACCGATGACCTGCGACGATGGTGGGAGTTTCGTTTGGGGGGTGGAGGAAGGGACTGCGTAGAAGCGGAGGTGGTGGGTTCGTGGGTGGTCGTCGAGATGGGAGTTGGCAAAGATTGAAGAGAGATTGAGTTGTTGCGAGAGTGAGAACGGCCATGACGATGCCCAGGAGCGGCCTGGGGAGTGGTCGAAGGCATTCCGAGTTTGAAAGACTCAAACTGGGAGAACAAAAAGGAAGAATTAGAGGGGCAGGACAAGGCACACAAAAAAGGGACTTGCCCGCTGCCTGGCGATGTTGTCTACTTGCATATTGGCTTTTGAGGGGTCGGAATAAGAACGAAAGAGTGGAGGTTCCCTCGATAGGGTATTGGAAGAGACAAAAGAATGGTCTGTGCTGTGGACCTAGCACTGAGTCGGCAGCGACGATGGCAAGTCGAGAAAGCCAACTGGTCACACGGTCACGATCACGCTTGATCTTTCTCTGACACGTTTCTGGTTCGTTCAGAACCACATCAGACTGAGCAGAACCCTCAGGCGAAGAAGTTAACTGGGATACACAAGCATGAAATCGAATGTTAATCGTCTCTACCTGCCCCGGACTGATTTCGGGTTCTCACTTCAATTCAAACACCATTGAAAGACGTCGTCGCCGGTCCGCGACATCCCGATGGCCTTCATCTGTCATTTTGCAAAAAAGTGCAGTGCGATAGAGCTCAATATGCGCCGATGGGACACACGCAAGACCTTTTTTACTCACTTTATCGATATTAGGTCACGACGACATTACACTGTCTGTAGTCGCAAACGCGCCTTACCGACTGGCTTTGGCGCGTCAGTCAGCTGGTACAGCCCGAGGAAAGACCGCCGTTTAAAACCACGTCGTTCATAAAGACATGCGACCCAGTGGCAAGCAACGTCCCACAACATGCTCCTTCCAAAATTCGTAGCGTTCTTAGCGGCGCTAGGCACACTTGCTGGTGGTCAACGTAGTCCTCGTCTGACGCGTCAATCCCAAACCGATGTGCTACAAAACATTGTCCGTGATATCTAACGTTTCTCGGCTCGTACTCACCACTACATTTGTTGAAGGTTACTTGGGACCAATATTCACTTATCATCAATGGGACACGAGTCGACGTATTCAGTGGAGAAATTCATCCATTCCGGTATGTGCCCCTCGAACTCAAGAGAGACATTTCTCATGGCTACCTTAGGCTGCCTGTTCCAAGCCTCTATCTCGACGTTCTGCAAAAAGTCAAATCGCTCGGATTCTCTGCAATATCAGCCTACTTTTTCTGGGGACTGCATGAGCCTAAACGCGGCGCTGGGATCTCATTCGAGGGATTCAGAGACCTGCAACCGTTTTTTGATGCAGCCAAAAAGGCAGGATTATATGTCATCGCTCGACCAGGGTTTTTTTTTTTTCTTGTGGGTACTCTTGTCAATGATACTGAGACATTTCTAGGCCTTACATCAATGCTGAAGTAACGGGGGGTGGTTTTCCGGGATGGGGCACCCATACTTCGGGTCTGTGGCGAACAAGCAACGCATCCTACGTCGAAGCATACACCGACTGTGAGTGAAAACCTGTGTCCGAATCATAATCCAATCTTCTTCCAGATATGACCTCAATCGGAAAGGTTTTAGCAAAAAACCAAATCACGAACGGTGGCCCTATAATCCTCGTTCAAGTCGAAAACGAGTATAGCGGATTTCAAGCGCCATATACTGAAGATTTCGAATACGAAGCCAACCTCAAATCTATCATGGTGCTACTGCTCATGACTTTTCTCTGTCTTAGCTCAAACGTTTTCCCAGCGCTCTAGCGGCGTTACCGTGCCTCTCACTGTCAATGATGCGTGGCCGGGCTCTCACTACACGAACGTGGACATCTATGGTCTGCATTCGACATGCCTGCCTTTTTGCACTATGACTAACACGAACTATCCAGGCTATGACTCGTATCCTAATGGTTTCGACTGTTCACACCCTGATGTCTGGCTCTCCGATGCGGTCCCCGAATACTTCTGGGGAGCACACCTTGGAATCAATCCACAAGCGCCAAATGCAGTTTACGAATTTCAGGGTGGCGCTTTCGATCCGTTAGTCTTTTTCTGCGTTATTTGCTCATTGACTGAATATTGTCAAAGCTGGGGCGGGTTTGGATATGAAAGTTGCGCGCAGCTTCTGGGTCCAGCTTTCGAAAGAGGTTTGTTTGCCTGATCCACATGCAACGAGTTGATGTTTATGACAGTTTTCTACAAAAATCAATTCGCCATGGCTTCGACGGTTTTGAACTTTTACATGTTATATGGCGGGACAAATTGGGGCGGTAAATTATACTCTTGGAAAGAATATTTCCCGTTCTGATCTGTCTAATTAGGTATTGCGCATCCTGGTAGGTTTTATTATCTGGCTGAGAAAAGTGACTTGACCAAAAAAGGTGTATATACGTCATATGACTACGTGAATATTTTGTACCCAATTGAAGCGCGGCTAACACTCAGCAGGGTTCTGCAATTGCTGAAGATCGCACTTTACGAGAAAAGGCATACGAATTGAAACTCCAAGCCTACTTCCGTTCCGTATCACCGGCCTTCCTCACCTCACAACCAACCAACATATTTGCGACTCAAGGCTCATTCACTGGAAATCAGGCCCTCAAAACAACCCAACTGCTTGATTTCGTCGGCAACAAAACTGCTTTTTATGTCGTGCGGTGAGTTTCTGATGGGATTGACTCGATCGTTGTGGTAATTGTGGAAAGACAAACCGATGCTTCGGTAAACGATGATCAGACTTACAGCTTGACGCTTCCTACAAGGTGCGAAACCTGTTCTGACTTGCTCTGCGTCTGAAACAACTACAATGTAGTATCGGACAACTAACCATTCCAACAATTGGCGGGTCCCTTGCCCTCAATGGCAAAGATTCGAAAATCCACGTGGTTGATTACAGTGCTGGTTCAACCACTGTGCTTTACTCGACGGGAGAAATACTGACATGGTGAATATACTTTAGTCTGTTAACTCACTTGCTTATTGTTGTCCAGGGCCACTATTGACTCGACCGATGTCATTTTGGTTTATGGCAATAAGGGGGAGCTCCATGAAACTGCTTTCAAGTTCGGTGCAGCTATCCCAACAGCGAATGTTGTCTCTGGTGCGGGCAAGATCAAGACAAAACTGTTAGGAAATGGCGGCTTGGCATTACAATATGTAACGTCTGGCCAAACGGTTGTCCGAGTCGGGAATGTTCTCTTGTACATTCTCGGTAAGAGGTTGAAGTCATTTGAGTTTTTAACAACTAACATTTCGTGAAGATCGTGCCAACGCTTATGACTTTTGGGTCCTGAATCCAGCAACAGCTTTCGGACAGAGTTTCGTACACTCGACTCAGAAGAATCCTATCATTGTCAAGGGCGGTTATCTTTTGCGCTCGGTTACCGCGTCTGCAGGGGCTCTTCAGCTCACTGGTGACTTCAATACAACGCAGCCTGTAACTTTCGAGATTATCGCCCCACAGTTATTCCAAGCTGTTTCCGTCAACGGTGCCAAACTCGCACTTGCGAAAACTCCGCAAGGCACACTCACAGGTCAAAGAGCGGGCTCCCTTCCCCCGATATCACTACCCAATCTCGCTTCCTTGCCATGGGTACTCAACCATTTTGGCTCGAAATGTGATCTGACTAATGTAAATCGCAGAAAACAGCGGATTCCCTTCCTGAAATCCAGCCCCAATATTCTGATGCCTCTTGGACAGTCGCAGATCACAAGACCACGGTTAATCCAACCCCGCCCAACACGACTGTTGTCCTTTACGCGGGCGATTATGGGTTCCATACGGGCAGTATTCTCTGGCGCCATCATTTTGCTGCTTCGGGGCTCGAGAAGGGCTTCAACGTCGGTGTTCAGGGTGGGGCTGCGTTTGGATTTTCGGTTTGGCTGGATCAGACTTTCATTGGTTCATGGAAAGGTGCGTCGGACTTGATCGTGAATTCGTCCAAATATTCATGATTATTCGAAAGGCGACGGGGCACTTTCTAATTTCAATGGGACCTTCTCATTCCCGTCGACGTTGTCTAAGGACTCGCAGCATGTGCTCACAATTTTGCAAGGTAGTTCATTCAACGAGTTCTAATGCTTTCCTGATTTATATTGCAGACCACATGGGAAACGAGGAAAACTGGTGGGCTGCAGGGGAAGTGTTCAAGACACCACGTGGAATTCTGAGCTACTCGTTTGTGGGGACCGACAAAACCGCGTCCGGCGTGTGGAAGGTTGCCGGTAATCTGGGCGGAGAGGATGTATGCCTGACAAGCTCTCACCATCGCAAAAATTGACGCTTTTGTAGTATATTGACACAACTCGCGGAGCGTTGAATGAAGGTGGGCTATTTGGCGAGCGTCAAGGCTGGCATCTTCCCGGCTTCAACGACGCATCTTGGGTGAAGGGGAGCCCTATGACCGGACTGCGCCATGCTGGTGTTGCGTTCTATCGCACAACTTTTACTTTGGACATCCCGGCTGGTGTCGACTACCCCATGGCGCTCGTGTTCACCAACGCAACCGCAACCACCGCCGCCTTCCGGGCCCAGCTCTTCGTGAACGGCTATCAATTTGGCAAATACGGTAGGTTTAGATCTTAACATTTTCAAAAACGGCTATTAAGTCCCGCTCACAGTCAACAACATTGGCCCGCAGAAGTCCTTCCCCGTGCCGCAGGGCATCCTGAACTACAACGGCCAGAATACTTTGGCGGTGTCGTTGTGGGCGCTGGACGCGGCTGGCGGTCACGTGGATTCGCTGAGGCTGGTCACAACAGCGAGGGTGGAGAGTAGCATGGGCAAGGTGGCGAATGCCCCATCCCCAGGATGGGTCCCACGAGTGCATGTCTTCTAATTTTGTTATCTTGGTTTGAGTGAGCAGGAGAATGAATCCAACTATGATGAGTGTATGACCTGGTGCCGCGTTGTTCCCAATGACCCGGCGGTGTAGAAAATTCCGATGGCAACAGTGAAATCAAAGCTGCTTAAAAGAACCACCACCACCATTGACAATACTTATGCCGAACGTTCGAGATAACATGTTTTCTCCGTGTGGACTAGTAAAAGTCATATCAGTGAGGTCTTCACAATTATGCAGGTGTCCTGCTAATTCACCTGGTTTACCAGTTTGGATGGTGCACAAAACCTTGACTTTCTTCGAAAAATCCATGGTCATCTAACCCGCGCAGTATTAACCTGGTGCACCCAGTAGCCGCTCATGTACCCAAACGATTGTAGAGAAACGAGTGGCTGACTCATCGCCCACATTTCCACTAGTTGTTCCAACCACCCATGTTCCACACAATCGTTCTTTTGGCGTCGTCCTCGCCTTCCATGGCGATCAACGCTGCATGCACCTATGTCTTCTGCAGCTTCCCGTCTATTCTTGCCCGACAGGCACTCAACCACTTCGTGGTCTATGCAAACCAGCCAATTTCGCAGTTGCCGTCATACAGCAAACGGTGCTACTCGTTTGTGCTGGGCAGCTATGAATCCGACCTTGTCTTCGTCGCAGGCCCCCCGGACCGATACGTTCGAATTCGTCGGTCCCCTGGAGAGCTGAAGCGTCAGTATCTGGCGTATGTCCGCAAGACGGTCGCGCTTTTGCGAGACGGTTCAGATGACACCCTCTTTCTTCCCATATTGGCCCCTTGCGACGCAGGACATGTACATCTTGGTCAAGGGGTCAGCATTTCGCTAGAAGAACTAGCCCAAACACTCCAGCGCTCCTCCTCCTCCTCAAATGTGAAACTGTGGATGCCAGAATGCAATGACCCATGCTGGGCAGTGCCAGGGCTGCCATGGTCAGTTCTCGACAAGGTCTCCCCGGTTCACGACCGTCTACTCCAAGCCAAACCTCTCAACATCAAGGCGTTCCTTCTGCCCAAGCTTGTCGACGAGGCTCCACGATACTTCAAGTACACCCAGACCGATCTTGACTTTGCCAAGGTGCTGGTCGCTGACCTGAAGGCGCTGATTGCCTCGATCGACCCTTCAAAACTGGACCATCCCTCCGACTACTTGTGCTACGCCGTTCGCCACATTTGGATCACGCGCCGAGGCGAGATCCCCATCGCAATGCGGCTGTGTCGCATCAGAGACGTGGCTGACGTAAACCGGGCCGGCGACATCCTCGCCCACCGCCTCGACTGCTTCATGACCGCCTACGTTCTCTCGCGCCACGTTTTCGGCACCCCGCTCGACGCGCGTAATCTTGCTGACACAATTCCACACGGCGCGTATTGGCACTGGCTCGAAGCGGCGTGCATGGCCCCTGTCCAGGGACACTATTTCGAGGAATTCCTCGAAACGACCAAAATACCGCTGGTGGCTGTGAAAAACCTGCTCGGATCTGTGGGCCTGTTTTCCGATAATGGCTATGCCAAATGGACGGAAGTACTCTCTGTGATTGGGATAAACTCGTGAGCGTGGAAAGTCTGGCCAGTGCCCGATTGTGGAGAATCGCCGCCTTCGCTCCGGATGTTTTGCAGCTGATGCAGGTCGTCGCACAGGCTTTCAAGAGAAAGGCCGAGCGCGAAGAAGACGATGAGGTCCTACTGGAGGATTGCCCGATATTCGAGCACGATTAACATCCCATTGGAGGTGTCTATAAGTAAGTATAGGCATATTACTAGTAGTTCCGTGAACGTCCTCGTTGTCGCTTCTAAATTCTTTATTTTTGCTTATGTGGAAAAACTCAAAACTAACACCAAGTTATTAGACCCCCAACCCAAATAGATTGCATACGGAATACAAAAAAGTCTAGCTCGCCACAAACCGATCTCCAGCCGAGACACGTGCCCGGTACCACCCGCGCACACCCCAGCCTTCAACCAGCCGCAACGAAATACATGAATAAAAGTACAACTAGGCGAGTACAAAACTGCATCGCCGCTCGCCAGTCTCCGGGTGAACGTACGTAGTGCCACCTCCGCATTTCCCCCGCAGAAAGGCCAGCGACAACGAATACATGCGAAGAGAGAAGTGGGTGAAAAAAGGGAGGGTGGAAATGTCCAGTTTACCAAATGCCGTTGGGGATGGCAGGGCGGTCTAGGCGGGAAACGCAGTCGATATGGAAGTAGCAAGGATACAGATGATGTGCTGACTAAGCTACGCGGTCACGCTATGGACGCTGCCTCAGCAGCTCCAGGTTCCCCCCTCCGAGTAAACGGACGCCCTCGTCCGGAAAAAGCCTATCTAGAAAAAAAAGAACTAAAAGACTGTAATGTATGAGAGCAAATGAAGACGAGCAGGAGAGAAAAAAAATAGTCATTTCTTGGCAGCGATCCGTCGCAGAGCATTCCTGCGCCGTTGGGCTAGCGCGCTCATCTTGTCAATATGAGCTGCGGGAGTTGCGCGGGATCGAGCTTCTCTTGCTGAAGAAGTACTCGGCAGCTTGTCTGGTGGGCCACGGGTCCGTCTCGGTCCGATATCACGCTGGGGGACCTTGCCAGTATTGCTGCCGTCGTTGTCGCTGCCCATCTGGGCACTCGGCGCTTGCACTGATAAAGTGGTGATAGCTGCTCCGAGCTTAGGGGTGGTTGTGTTGGTGGAGGGGAGAGAGGGTGTGGCCAAGGTGCAGTTGCTATTGTCCGCAACGATAGCAACTGTGGCTTTGGGTGCAGCATCTCTCATCCCACCAACACCTTTGGGAGTGACCGACAGGTGCGGGGGATGCTCTCTGGCCCGTGCCACGTTTTTCTGGCCCTTCGGCACTGGTCGAGGCAATGGGTTCCGACGGTGTTGTGGCGCTGGTCGTTCAGGGTAGCCAAATGCGTTCAAGGACCACCCCGGCGGGCATATGCGAGGAGCCCGTGGAGGTCTATGTGGTTGGTTGGGCCGCCGAACTGAAGGTGCATACATATCCCGACCCGGAGTATAACTGCTCGAGAGGATACTAGGGGCTGGTTTACTTGGTTGCAGTGCTGGTGTATCCACGAGGCGAAGTTGCGCAATCTGGTCATCAATGGCGGGACCCTCCGAGTCTGTTGCCTGGGTTGTTGCAGGGTGAATGTATTCGCCAGTATTGTTGTCCCACACATAGCCATCTTGAATGAACTGGTATTCTTCGATCTCGCACATGTAAAGCTCCCGCAGCATCTCTCTGAAAGCCTCCCGGTCCTCCTCCGCAACTTCGTGGCGGTCGTAAATGCCTTGGAGCTCCTCAAGCGACAGTTCTTCGTACCGGGTGTCGTCAGACCCGGTGAAGTCGAAGGCAGGATGTGTGTCGTCGGAATACGGCTCCTCAAAAGAGCGCCCCACTGCGAAGCTCCCCTGGTCATACTCGCACCCGTCTTCTCGGCCGCCGTAGTCCGCCTCCGAGATATCTCGGGCCTCGTCGTACTCCTCCCAATGTCCTCTCTGACTGAGTTCTTCGTCATCACTGCCCCACGCCTCTGAAACTTCTACCTCGTCTGTCTCCTCCACATACTGCTCCTCCCAGATGTCCACTTCGCCCGGAAATAAACCCTCCCGGGCCGCTTCAGTGTCGTAGTAGTCCTCGAAGTTGTCATCTAGCCCCGAGTTCGCTGAAGGACTGTAGTCAATGTCCTCCTGGTAGTCGTCGTAGTTGTAGGTGTGGTTGTATCCATCATCATAAGGGGTGGCATAGCCGTAGTAGATGGCCATGGTGTGGTCTCGCAGGTTGAGTTGCGGTGAAAATTTTTCTCGTGCTGCTAGCACGGTGTCTCGTCAAGCACTCGACGGTCGATCCTTCGGGTTGGATGCGGGGTTGTGCAAAACGCACTCTCGTCACCACATGGGGATGGCAGGGCGGTCTAGGCGGGAAACGCAGTCGATATGGAAGTAGCAAGGATACAGATGATGTGCTGACTAAGCTACGCGGTCACGCTATGGACGCTGCCTCAGCAGCTCCACCGTCGACGATCCCGAGACAAACGGACACAGTGCACACCTGCGCCGCCTGCTGCAAAGAAAGCCTAGAGACCAATGGAAAAAAGGACGCGATGAGTGAGGTCAACAATCAGAGAGCCAAACCAGACATAGTGCACACCTACGCTGGCCCAGTCGCAGAAAGTCGAGAAGCACCCACCGAAGAAAATAATGAAACGCCTCCCCCACAATCCCAAGCTCGGCCGCGCGGTGCACACCCCCACGACGGTCGCCGGAGAAAGCGGAAAAGACGAGTCATTGTTACATGAGGGAAAAGGTGAACGTTTTGAGGCAGTCTCTGGTCGGACGTACGCGGCACCACCCACGCATTCCAGCCACAGAAAGCCACAAAAACAATTCGTACATGAAGTCTAGGGGGTACAGTTCCTGTTATACAGATCTAAGAGGGAGGGGGGTGAGAGATGAGAGAAATCAATCTAGAGAGAAATGGAAAAAGAGAAAGAAAACCGAATCAGAGACGGGTGAACAAGTCGGCTGAAGAAATATTGTCAGAGGCCAGGGTTGGTGAGAAGAACCGGGACGCACTGGAGATACAGTCAAGACCGGTGGAGCCAATCAGACCAGTACAGCAGGCGACGGCTTTGAGCGTAGAGGAGCTAAAAGAGAAGGCGTAAGTCGTATGTTTATTGAAGGACAAAAAAGAGAAACTAACCAAGCTTCCTTTCCACGCAGTTTTGTTACGGGAGTGCAGTTCATGCCGAGGGCAGCGCCAGCCTTAGCAGCGCTGAGTTTGAGCGAGGAGAGGAGCGAGTATGTCGGGGGCGACAACTCCTCGCAACAGTACTTGACCTCATCCTTGGCACAAGTTCCCATCGCGTTAGGCGCCTGAGCACGACGGGCCTTGTTGGAGGCGCTGGGTTGTTGCGGGGCCGCGTTTGCATTGGAGGGGGCCTGTTGCTGTTGTTGCGCACTCGATGGCCGTGAAGCGGGGGCGGCTGATGATGGCGCGGCAGCGGGGGCAGGTGCAGACGAGGAGGCAGCCCTGGCTGAACTACTCGGGGCGGCAGCAGGAGCGCTGCTAGAGGGAGCACGTGATGAACTAGGTGCTTGTTGCGAACTCGAGCTGGGCCTGGCTGAGGAGGACGGAGCAGCACTGCTAGAGGGAGCACGTGATGAACTAGGTGCTTGCTGTGAACTCGAGCTGGGCCTGGCCGAAGAAGATGGGGCAGCGCTGCTAGAAGCGGGCCTTGACGAAGACGAAGCCGCCTGACTAGAGCTGGCTCTGGCTGAAGAAGACGGAGCTGCACTGCTTGAAGCGGGTCTCGATGAGCTAGAGGCCGCTGCAGAAGCTGTTCAAATTATCAGTATATTGCTAGGATTTCAAAAAAAAAAAACGCACAGCTTGCACGGGCAGACGACGATTGAGCCGCGCTCGAAGACGCACGTGACGACGACTGGGCAGAGCTGCTCGAGGGGCGGGCAGACGAAGATTGAACCGAGCTGCTAGACCGAGCCGCCGACGACGATTGTTGAGCCGAGCTGGAGGAACGAGCCGACGAAGATTGAACCGAACTCGACGCGCGAGCCGACGACGAAGCGCTGCTGGGGCGGGCAGACGAGGATTGGACAGCGCTTGACGAGGCACGTGACGAAGACTGGGCAGAGCTGCTGCTGGAGGGGCGGGCAGACGAAGATTGGGCAGAGCTAGACCGAGCCGACGACGATTGTTGGACCGAGCTGGATGAACGAGCCGAGCTGGACTGGGGCGAGCTGGAAGCACGAGCCGACGACGAGGCGCTGCTGGAGCGGGCAGACGAAGATTGGGCAGCGCTCGAAGAGGCACGTGACGATGAGGCAACAGAGCTGCTGGAGCGGGCAGAGGAGGAGGATGCAGCACTGCTAGACCGGGCCGACGAGGATTGGGCAGACGACGAGGAGGCACGCGCAGAGGACGAGCTAGAAGCCCGGACACTGCTTGAGCTTGCCGCAGCTGCTAAAATTTATGTAAGTATTGATGGCATCATTGGGAGAATTGACTCACAGCTTGACGAGCGCTGAGCGCTGGAAGAAGACGAAGCGCGGGCGCTAGAGCTGACGGCGGACGAAGAAGAGGCACGGGCGGACGAGGAGCTGGACGCCCTGAGACTCGAAGTTGACGAACGGGATTGCGAAGCGCTGGACAAAGTGGCTATTCATTTAAGTTAGCATTTTGAAGACTCATAAATTTTTTATACAACTCACCAGCCGAGCAGTGGAACGCGTAGTTTCCACGGCGGTCACCACAGCAGTTCGCGGGCTTCTTGTTTCCAGGGCTATACATCACTTCAGAAAAACAAGACCAATGAAGCTCGGAAATAAACTCACCAAGACAGGTTACCGTTCGCATCCTTGGTTGCCGCGGTACATCCCACACCAATGTTGTCACCGACGCTGGAGTTCTCGCTCAGACCGGCGTTCTTGAGGCACTCCCCACCGTAGTTGCTGCGGGGGTCCTCGAGCGAGTCGCAGCAGTAAGTCTCCTTGGAGGAGCACGTGACCGACGACGCTGAGGGCGAGGCGGAAGACGAGACTCTAGAGGCAGAGCTGCTGACACGGGCAGAGGAGCTGCTAGGGCGAGCAGAAGAGGATTGGCTGGACGACGGACGGGCCGACGAAGTCGAGCTGGATGAACGAGCTGACGAAGATCCTGCGCTCGAAGACCGGACCGAGGAGCTGCTTGAGGAAGCACGTGACGAAGCAGCGCTGCTGGAGCTCGACGGACGGACAGACGAGGAGGAGGCGCTGCTAGAGCGAACCGATGCGGAGGAGCTCGACGACGGGCGGGCTGACGAGGCCGACGAGCTTGATCGGATCACTGATGAGGAAGCAGAGCTTGATGGGCGGACGCTGCTGCTGCTGGAGCGAATCGAGGACGATTGCACAGAGCTAGACGAGCGAGCCGACGAGGACTGCGCACTGGACGAGGCACGTGACGACGACTGGACGGAGCTGGAGCGGGCAGACGAAGATTGGCTACTCGACCGAGCCGACGAAGACTGGGCACTCGAAGAGGCACGTGATGACGACTGAGCTGAGCTCGAGGAACGAGCCGACGAGGACTGACCAGAGCTAGATGGGCGGGCAGACGAAGATTGGGCGGAGCTGCTGGACCGAGCCGACGAAGACTGAACCGAACTCGAGGAATGAGCCGATGATTGAACCGAGCTCGAAGGACGAGCCGACGACGAAGCACTACTGGAGCGGGCAGACGAGGATTGGGCGGCGCTTGACGAGGCACGTGACGACGACTGGCTAGAGCTCGAGGGGCGGGCAGACGATGATGATTGAACTGAGCTGCTAGACCGAGCCGACGATGATTGAACTGAGCTGGAAGGACGGGCTGACGACGAAGCGCTGCTGGAGCGGGCGGAGGAGGAAGAGACAGCGCTTGACGAGGCACGTGATGAAGACTGAACCGAGCTCGAAGAACGAGCCGACGACGAAGCGCTGCTGGAGCGGGCAGACGAGGACGCAGCGCTTGACGAGGCACGTGATGAGGACTGAACTGAGCTGGAGGAACGAGCCGACGAGGACTGGCCAGAGCTCGATGGGCGGGCAGACGAGGATTGAGCGGAGCTGCTGGACCGAGCCGACGAAGACTGAACCGAACTCGACAAACGAGCGGACGACGAAGCGCTGCTGGAGCGGGCAGACGAGGATGCAGCGCTTGACGAAGCACGTGACGAGGCGCTATTGGAGCTCGATGGACGGGCAGACGACGCGCTGCTTGAGCTAGAGCGCGCGGAGCTCGAGACACCTGACGAGGCAATCAGTCATCTATGTCAGTAAAAGAGGAGGGAATAAAACTTACCAGAGCTGCTTGATGGACGAGCGGAGGACGCCGAAGCGCTGCTGGAGCGGGCAGAGGAAGAGGCAACGCTTGACGAGGCACGTGACGACTGGCTAGAGCTCGAGGGGCGGGCAGACGAGGATTGGACAGAGCTGCTAGACCGAGCCGATGACGATTGAGCCGAACTCGACGAACGAGCTGACGACGAAGCACTGCTGGGGCGGGCAGACGAGGACGCAGCGCTTGACGAGGCACGTGACGAGGCGGAGCTGGAGGAGCGGGCGGAGGATGACTGGACCGAGCTGCTAGAGCGAGCCGACGACGCGCTGGAGGATGCACGTGACGACACGGAGCTGGATGGACGGGCCGAGGAGGAGGAGGCGGAGCTGCTGGAGCGGGCCGACGAGCTGGACGACGGGCGCGCTGTAAATCACGTGAGCAAACGGATCAGATCAAGGGAAAATTGACGTACAGCTGCTGGAGCTGGAGGAACTGGGGCGGACAGACGACGAGGCGGAGCTAGACGACCGGGTAGAGGAGCGAGACGAAGAAGCGCTGGACAAGGTTTCTGACAAGTATAGTTCAGAACTGACAAGAAATGGGCAAGGGGGCCAACTCACCGGGCGAGCAGTGGAACGCAACGTTACCGCGACGCTTGCCACAGCAGCTTGCCGGCTTCTTGGATGCGGGGCTGCACATTGAGGTCAGAAACATGATCCAAACGACAAGAACGAAAAAAAAACACTCACCAAGACAAGTTGCCGTTCGAGTCCTTGGTGGCAACAGCACATCCCACACCAATCTGGTCACCAACGTTCGAGTTGGGGCTTAAGCCCTCATTCTTGAGGCAGTCGCCACCATAGCCACCGCGCGGGTCCTCGAGCGAGTCGCAGCAGTAGGTCTCCTTCGTTTGACAGGTGACCGATGTGACTGATGGCGATGCAGAAGCCGAAGAAGTCCGGGAGGCAGAGCTGCTGATGCGCGACGAGGCGGAGGAGGCGGAGCGGGAGCTTGAGCTGCCAGAACGTGACGAGACGCTGCTGCTAGAGCGAGCGGACGAGGCAGATGATGAACGGGCTGACGAAGAGCTGGCACGTGACGCCGAGCTAGACGAAGGACGCGCCGACGAAGATTGAGCCGAGCTGGATGAACGGGCGGAGGAAGCGCTGCTTGAACGCGAAGATTGGCTTGCGCTGGAAGAAGCACGTGATGCCGAGCTAGACGAAGAACGCGCTGACGAAGACTGAGCCGAGCTGGATGAACGGGCAGACGAGGCAGAGCTTGATGAGCGGATTGACGAGGCGCTGCTTGAGCGGGCTGACGAGGACTGAACAGAGCTCGACGAGCGGGCCGACGAGGATGCGCTACTGGAGCGAGCTGAGGAGGCAGAGCTGGAGGAAGCACGTGACGAAGATGCCGCCGAGCTGCTGGAGCGAGCAGAGGAAGACGCGCTGCTAGAGCGAGCCGAAGAGGCAGAGCTAGAAGAAGCACGTGATGAAGATGCCGCTGAGCTGCTGGAGCGAGCGGACGACGCGTTGCTGCTAGAGCGGGCAGACGACGACGCGGCTGAGCTGCTTGAACGCGCAGAAGAGGCGCTAGAGGAGGATGCACGTGACGACGAGGAAGCAGAGCCGCTGCTGGACCGCGCCGAGGCAGAGGAGCTTGACGACGGGCGGGCAGAGGAGGAGGACGATGCGCTGCTTGATCGGATCACTGATGAAGATGATGCCGAGCTCGAGGGTCTGGCGGAGGAGGCGCTGCTGCTGCTAGAGCGTGCGGAGGAGGATTGGGCCGCGCTGGAGGACGAGCGGGCAGAGGAGGAGGCGGACACGCTGCTAGAGCGAGCAGATGAGGACTGAGCAGAGCTGGAAGAGCGAGCCGAAGATGCCGATGCGCTGCTGCTGGAGCGGGCAGACGAGGACTGGGCAGAGCTTGAGCGAGCGGAGCTTGACGTCACTGAAAGTCAAATATTAGCAAAGATGATATAATGATAAAGAAAGCAAACAAACCAGAGCTACTGGATGAACGGGCCGACGAAGACTGAACTGAGCTGGACGAAGGACGGACAGAGGAAGCACTGCTGCTGGACCGGGCAGATGAGGAGCTGCTACCAGGGGCCGAACTTGATGAGCGGGCAGAGGACGAGGCACTGCTTGAACGGGCAGATGACGATTGAGCCGAGCTAGACGAGCGAGCGGAGGAAGCGCTGCTGCTAGACCGGGCCGATGATGACTGGCTTGAGCTTGATGGGCGAGCAGAGGAAGAAGACGCGCTGCTGCTAGAGCGAGCCGACGATGATTGGGCAGAGCTTGAGGAGCGAGCGGAGGAAGCGCTGCTGCTGCTGCTTGGGCGGGCCGACGAAGAGGCGCTGCTGCTAGAACGAGCAGAAGAGGATTGAGCCGAGCTGGACTGCGCCGAGCTAGAAGATGAACGGGCTGACGAAGCGCTGGAGCTTGATGGACGAGCAGACGACGAAGCACTGCTGCTGGAACGGGCCGATGAAGCAGAAGCACTGGAGCTGGAACGAGCAGATGCGGAAGCGCTGCTGCTGCTGGAACGAGCCGAGCTAGATTGCGCCGAGCTAGATGAGCGGGCTGATGACGACACGCTGCTGCTTGATGGGCGGGCAGAAGAGGAGGCGCTGCTGCTGGACCGGGCCGAGGAGGCAGAAGCGCTGGAGCTAGAGCGAGCGGAGCTGGATTGAGCAGAACTAGACGAGCGAGCAGAGGAGGCGCTGCTGCTAGACCGCGCCGAGCTTGAGACAACTATCCAATGACGTCAGCTGACAAAACACATGATAATTGAGAAAATAACACACCAGAGCTGCTAGACCGGGCTGAGGATGAAGCGCTGGACGATCGGGCAGATGACGACACGGACGAGCTAGATGGACGCGCGGACGACGACACCGAGCTGCTTGGTCGGATCACCGAAGATGATGATGATGCGCGGCTGGAGGAAGAGCCAGGGACCGAGCTCGAGGAAGAGCGTGCAGACGAGGCAGAGCTCGACGACGCACGTGCCGAGGAGGCGCTGCTGCTAGAGCGGGACGATTGGCTGGCGCTGGAGGAAGCACGTGACGAGGACTGTGCCGAGCTGGAGCTCGATGGGCGGGCAGACGATGCCGAGCTGCTAGAGCGCACGGATGAAGACTGCGACGCGCTGGACGAGCGAGCAGACGAAGACGACAGGGCGGAGCTGCTGCTAGACCGAGCCGAAGAAGAGCCGCTGCTGCTTGATCGGATCGATGATGAGGCTGATGCAGAGCTTGATGGGCGGCCCGAAGAAGACGACGCGCTGCTGGAGCGAGCGGACGAAGACTGGACAGAGCTTGAGGAGGGGCGCGCCGAGGAGGAGCTGCTCGAGCGGGCCGAGGAAGATTGAACCGAGCTGGACGACGAACGAGCCGAAGAAGCGGACGCGCTGGAGCTAGACCGCGCAGAGGACGACGCGCTGCTGCTAGAACGAGCCGAGCTGGACTGAGCCGAGCTGGAAGATGAACGAGCCGAAGAGGCGCTGCTGCTGCTGGAGCGGATCGAGGAAGACACAGCGCTCGACGAAGAACGCGCAGAGGAGACACTGCTCGAGCTGGAGCGGATTGCAGAGGACGAGCTAGACCGCGCGGAACTCGAAACACCTGCAATAAATTCAATTAATCAAGCATACGATCAGATGCATTAGTCATACCTGAGCTGCTACTTGGGCGGGCAGAGGACGAGGCGCTGCTGCTGGAGCGAGCGGAAGAAGGAGCTGAGCTTGACGACCGGGCCGAGCTGCTGCTGCTAGAGGGGCGTGCCGAAGAAGAGCTTGATTGCCTGCTCGAGGATGACTGGACTGATGATGACGAGCGGGCAGACGAGGCACTGCTGCTGGAACGAGCAGAGGAAGAAGATTGGGCAGAGCTTGACGAGCGGGCAGACGAAGCCGAACTTGATGAAGAGCGGGCAGACGAAACACTGCTGCTGCTGCTAGAGCGCGCCGAGCTGGAGCTTGATGGCCGGGCCGATGAAGACGACGCTGAGCTGGACGACCGGGCTGATGAGGCCGAAGCCGAGCTAGATGAACGGGCTGACGAAGCCGAAGCCGAGCTGGACGAACGGGCAGACGATGCGCTGCTGCTGGAACGGATGGACGAAGATTGAGCCGAGCTGCTCGAACGGGCAGATGAAGCGCTGGCGCTGCTGCTAGAACGGGCAGATGCCGAGCTAGATGAACGAGCCGACGAAGATGCAGCTGAGCTAGACGACCGCGCTGAGGAGGACACGCTACTAGACCGGGCCGATGAGCTGGAGCTAGACGGTCTAGCAGAAGAGGAGCTGCTGCTGCTGCGGACTGACGACGAAACAGCGCTGGAAGACGACCGGGCCGAAGAGGAAGCAGAGCTAGACGAGGCACGTGACGACGACGCAGCACTGCTGGAACGCGCAGACGAGGAGCTGGCAGATGCAGAGCTAGACGAACGCGACTGGCTGGATGAGCTCGACGGGCGGGCAGAGGAGGCACTGCTGCTTGAGCTGGAGCGGGCCGCGGAGGAGGACGAGCTAGACCGCGCAGAGCTGGAGACACCTGTTAAGAGAATGTAAGTTGGATAGAACAATCAACATTAGAAATAAAAACATACCAGAGCTGCTCGACGACCGTGCCGAAGATGAAGCACTGCTCGAACGGGCGGACGACGACGAGCTAGAAGGCCGGGCCGAGGACGCCGAACTGCTTGATCGGATCACCGACGATGACGAAGCGGCGCTGGAGGAGCGGGCTGACGAGGCGCTGCTGCTGCTGCTGGAGCGCGCGCTGGAGCTGGCACTAGCACTTGACGAAGACCGGGCCGAAGACGCTGACGACGCGCTGCTGGAGCGGGCGGAGGATGACCTCGAACGGGCGGAGGACGCTGACGACGCAGATGAGCTAGAAGGCCGGGCCGAGGACGCCGAAGAGCTAGATGGGCGGGCAGACGACGATGACGCGCTGCTAGAGCGGGCCGAAGAAGACGATGCGCTGCTGGACCGCGCAGAGGAGGAGGACGCTGAAGAGGACCGGGCCGATGACGCCGACGCCGAGCTGCTTGATCGGATCACAGACGACGAGCTAGAGGCCCGAGCAGAGGATGACGGGGCCGAGCTGGACGATGCTGAGCGTGCAGACGAGGAGGACGCGCTGCTGGAGCGGCTCGCAGAGCTAGAAGATGAGGGCCGGGCCGACGACGCCGAGCTGGACGACGAACGCGCAGAGGAAGATGCGCTGGCGCTGGAGCTGGAGCGAATCACAGACGATGACAAGCTAGAGCGCGCAGAGCTGGAGACACCTGTCACACAAATCAGCATTTTATCTAAGATTAATAATAGAAATTAACATACCTGAGCTGCTCGAAGACCGGGCAGACGAAGCACTGCTAGAGCGGGCGGAAGAACTCAAGCTCGACAGACGTGCTGAGGACGACGCGCTGCTCGACGAAGAAGGACGCGCCGAGGAGGAGGAGCTGGACGAAGCACGTGACGAAGCACTGCTAGAGCTCGAAGGCCGGGCAGATGAGGCGCTGCTGCTGGGCCTGATGGAAGACGAGCTAGAGCGGGTCGAGCTGGAAACAACTGCAACATAATCATTAGCCTATTTGTAAAGTTATCAAAAAAGCAAAACATACCCGAGCTGCTGGAAGACCGGGCAGAAGAAACACTGCTGCTAGAGCGAGCGGACGAGGCGCTGCTGCTTGACCGGGCAGAAGAAGCCGAGCTCGAAGGACGCGCCGAGGAGGAGCTGGATGACGACGAAGCACGTGACGAGACACTGCTAGAGCTTGATGGCCGGGCAGACGAAGAGGACGCGCTGCTGGAACGAGCAGACGACGCGCTGCTAGACGAGACACGTGATGATGACACCGCGGAGCTGCTGGAGCGAGCAGAAGAGGCAGAGGCGCTGCTGGAGCGGGCAGACGACGACGATGCAGACAAGCTACGCGCAGACGAGCTAGACGAGGGACGCGCCGACGACGACAACGACGAGCTTGATCGGATCGCTGATGAGGATGATGCGGAGCTAGAGCGGGCCGAAGAAGACAGGGCAGAGCTCGACGAAGCGCGGGCGGAAGAAGAAGCGCTGCTCGACCGGGCAGAGGAGGAAGCGCTGCTGGAAGATGCACGTGACGATGACGGCGCAGAGCTGCTGCTAGAACGGGCCGAGGAAGAGGCGCTGCTAGACCGAGCGGAAGAGGACTGCGCGGAGCTGGATGATGAACGACCAGACGACGAGGCACTGCTAGAGCGAGCAGACGAGGAGGCGCTGCTGGAAGATGCACGTGACGACGAAGGTGCAGAGCTGCTAGAGCGCGCGGATGAAGACGAGGCGCTGCTAGAACGAGCGGAGGACGACTGCACACTCGACGAAGCACGTGATGAGGAAATGGCAGAGCTGGACGAACGTGCCGAGGAGGATGCGCTGCTAGAACGAGCAGAGGACGACTGCGCGGAGCTGGATGAGCGAGCCGACGAGGAAACGCTGCTGGAACGAGCGGAGGATGACGCGCTGGAGGAGGCACGTGACGATGCGGAGCTGCTGCTAGACGAAGGACGGGCTGAAGAAGCACTGCTGGAGCTCGAGCGGGCAGAAGAAGAGGCAGAGCTGGAGCGCGCGGAGCTTGAGACACCTTTTCAAAAGTGATTAAGAAAAAATACATCAAAAGAAATTGAGACACACCAGAGCTGCTTGACGACCGGGCCGAGGACGAAGCACTGCTAGAACGAGCCGAAGAAGCAGACGCGGAGCTGGAAGAGCGAGCGGAGGACGATTGGGCGGAGCTGCTCGACCGGGCGGAGGAAGATTGAGCTGAGCTGCTGCTTGATCGGATCGACGAGGAGGCTGATGAAGACCGGGCCGAAGATGCCGACGAGCTAGATGGTCTGACAGAGGAGCTGCTGCTGGAGCGCGCAGACGAAGACTGGGCAGAGCTCGAGGAAGATCTGGCAGAAGACGAGGAGCTTGATCGGATCACGGAGGATGATGATGATGCGGAGCTCGATGGGCGGGCGGAGCTGCTGCTGCTGCTAGAACGGGCAGAAGAGCTGGCCGAGGATGACCGAGCCGAGGACGACGACGCGCTGCTCGAGCGGGCTGAGGACGAAGCCGCGGACGAGCTGGACGAACGCGCTGACGAGGACGAGGAGGGCCGGGCCGAGGACGCCGACGAGCTAGAAGGCCGGGCAGAAGAGGACGACGCCGACGAAGAGCGGGCCGACGAAGAAGCAGAGCTTGATCGGATCACGGACGAAGAAGATGATGGCCGGACAGAGGAGCTGCTGCTGCTGCTGCTAGAGCGAGCAGAGGATGAGCTCGACGACGGGCGGGCGGAAGACGACGCGCTGCTAGAACGAGCGGAGGAGGAGGATTGCGCGCTCGAAGAGGCACGTGACGACGAGGCACTGCTGGAACGGGCCGATGAGGAAGCGGAGCTGCTGGAGCGCGCAGAGGACGAAGACTGGCTGCTAGACGGCCGGGCCGAGGACGACGACCGGACTGATGACGATGATGCGGATGATGAACGACTAGCAGAAGACGACGCTGACGCGCTGGACGATCGCGCTGAAGAGGCGCTGCTCGATGACGCACGCGCAGAGCTGGAGCTGCTGGAGGCACGTGACGAAGAGGAGGAAGCAGACGACGAGCGGGCGCTAGAAGGCGCAGAGCTGGAGCTGGAGCGGATAGCGCTGGAGCTAGAAGCAGAGCTGGAGCGGATCGACACTGGATAAGATTAGATCAGATAACGATAATGATA